TATAGCTGGATAAAGCATCTTAAATCCTTCGATTGGTGGGCGTGAGCAACCAGTGATAAACCTGAAAATCAATACTTGGAAAATATAGAAGAAATAAAGAAAGAGAAGACAGAAATGGGAAGTATATACACACCCCACAAAAGCAAATATATCTTACTTCAGCAATCCTCTCTTATCTTCAGGAGACATTTCCGATACTACGCTCCAGAAGAGATTCATGTAATCACGGTCTGCCTCATCTGTAAAGATAGGTATTCATATGTATAGTTTGAAATTAGTTCCATTCCAGTATCACCTCGTATATTATGAACAGCAGTATGTTTCATCATGTCATCTACATCCAGATCCGCGTCTGCTCCGCTCACAAGTGTTTGCAATTCAGATGGAGAAAACATTGCCAGCCAGCCAGGGTCTATCACCGTAGACACTCCAGCGCGCATTGCATCCACCAAAGGTTCAATCTGAATGGAATTTTTTGAGTGAGGCCAGGTCGACAAATATCACCCCAAAATTGCGCACATATTTTATAAGCAATCCCTATTGTAAAAAATGCGCAAAATCAATAGTTTAGCAAATTGCGATTTCTATGAGAAATATGCTACAATGAGTTTAAAAAGGATACCTTAGATGTAATTTGAATCAATGAATATATGAAAGTGACAAGAATTTTTTTTTGCTAAAGAAACGAACAAAAAGCCATTTCTTCTGAAAAGAGATACTTCACGCAATCAGTGTCATATCCGCTTCAACAAAAGTCTAAGAATTATATGTAGCTTAAATCATTATGAGGTCACTCATACGATCTTCAATTTTTCTAAAAATAAGAATGGAGAGAACACAAATCGATAAAACAATACCATTGACTAAATTATCAAATTTCGATGAATGTTTTGAACTAACCCGCTTGTAGAGGAACAAGTTCACATATGATCGGATATAGTCTAGTCGATTTTCGACAGTCACACGGATGTTTCGGCCACCCGGCACGAGATCTATCGTCTGTAAATCATGCTCAATGAAAGTTCTTCCCATGTAAGCAAAGAGAACTGGATAGACATCGTTATTCATAGGATCCAGAGGTAAAATCAAAGATCGAAACTGCTAAACGAGATGATTCATTACCTGAACGTCTCCCACATCATCCACAATAACACTAAAATCGAGTTCCAAAGCAGCTAGTTCATCAGCTGACAAACTTCGCAAATTCTTCAGATGCCTGCAACCCAACACTAATTGATAGACCTTTCTCTGCTACAAGGGTGTAGAGGGCGCGCAGGATTTTCCAAAGGGTTGTCGCTTTTGCTTGTGCAGCGATATCTACCCTCTAATAATTAGCATTTTACAATGCGTGAAATTCAAAAATAGATAGAAAAGTAAAAATTCCCATCAATAGTTGTTGGAATCTCAGTAAATTCCGTACATCTCTGAATCTTGCTCATTGAAAAAAGCAGAAATTTTCTCAGTTGAAAATAATTACTTTGAACACTATTTAAGGAAGGGTTCAAAATAATCTTTATTAAGTGCCAATTTATACTTCAATACTTAAACATTTCACAGTAACAGTACTGATATATGAGCTTCACAAGTAAATGTGTCTTGCTTTCTTCACTTCGGTCAGGGAGGCAATTAGTAATGCAAAGAGGCTTGAATACCCTTAGGTTACCCATAAGCAAAAGCGGCAACCTTTTGGAGGATCCCGCGGCGCCGCATAAGGGTGTGATAAAAACGTTGTCTTTCAAAAATTTTTGTAAAGATCGCGAATTAACACCAGTTTCCAATAAAAAGTAAATAAAAATAACAAAAGAATATATAATTATTATTAATATTTCCATGAAAAAACAGAAAAAAGTAGTTTTTGCCCATCTGTAGGGCAAACATTCCAAAGAAAAACTTACTTATAAATAGCTGGATCATACGATTTCATATAATGTAGATCGACATCCGTATGCCGTTTTCCTAACAGCTGGGCAACAAAAAACTCAGCAAATCGTATTTCTGCCATCTGTTTCTCGTAAATCAACTGGAATTGGCAATTGAGT